AGGCCCCGCCCCCCCGTAGAAGCGCGCTCCTCGCCTGGGCCTGGACCGCTAGCTTTAGCGAATGAAAGACACCATAGCAGATTTAAATGTGAAACCTGGACGGAGAGCGAGCTGGGTAGTATTTCATTCTGAAATGTAAATTTAATGGGAGGTCCTTAATTCAAGTCTCAGTTTACCTGAAATCCCTGTAACCAGCTCGGAAGCGCGGTTCCTCTGGCTTGTTGCTCTGTTGCGCGGGAGACGTGTTTTTTATATTTCTGGTCCTGATTTTTACACACATCAAGGTTCAAAACTGTGACCAAAAAGGAAAGAAGGGACCAACCCCCGCTGTTCTGCATGGCTCGGGCCCATGGGCTGCTGATTTGCTGAAGCTGTCTGAAGTCCACCCGTCTGCTGTGTGGCTTGAGGTGACCCAAGGCGGTGATCCAAATGCGCCCTGTCCCTGTCCCTCTCCAGTGCTCAGCACTTTCCTGCTCTGTGCCGAGTCCTGGAAGGGAGTCTGTCCTTCTGGATCTGCAATTTGTGAAAGCCGGAGGGGACCATGGAGCAGAGGAGGAGGAGATCAGGGAGGTGGCCCAGGTACAAGGCCTTGAGGTGGAGGATGCTGAGCTCTGGGAGCAGCAGAGCAGGCCAGGCCAGAGGAGCCAGAAGGCCCCCTGTCACTGAGAAGAGGCTGTGGACAGGGAGGCACAGGGCTGAGGCCCCGCCACACTCTCGAGGTGGAGCAGCTGGGACTCAGGCAGCTGCGGACCGAGGGACTGTCAGGTGTGCTGCATCTGACACTGCGATATTGGGACACAGCTCAGGCCTCAGCTCAGAGCAAAGGGAGACACTGGTTGGGGGACAAGTGCAGAGAAGCAGTGGTTGCCATGGTGTGGGCAGACAGGAAAGGGCCCTGGAAACTGGTGGGCACCTGTATACATTTCTTGGAGTCCCAGAAGCTACTTGAGGTGCTGGTGTGGGAAGGGCTGACTTCCTGAGCCTTTAGTTTGGGCAGGAAGTCCTGGGCATGGGACCAGGTCTGCCAGCTCCCTGCCTTGGCAACCAAACACCTGGATGTGGGCGTGGGAGGCGCTGGAACCAGTGCCCTGTGTCCCCCAGCAGTTCCCAGCTGTCACTTTCATGTCCTCCAGGTGGCCTTCGCATGTGGCTTATGCGAGTGGCGGCCATGGCTGTGTGGGAGGGAATCCAAGCACTCGAGTCTCCCTTGGCAACTCAGTCTGTGGCTGGCAAAGGCCGAGCCCAGGATGGGTTTTATGCAGGGGACCGAGATGAGCAGGGTGCAGAAAGAGACAGATCGCTGGAAACTTGAACATGGGGTTTAGCGGAGAAATAACTGTTTTCTATGAAAGATAATGACTTCTCCCGAGACCGGTGTGGAGATTTATGAGCTGTGCAGTTACGGCAAATCAGAGCCAGAGGCCTTGGAGGGAGGGCCCTTGCCTGGAGCCCCACTGGTCGCTGCCTCTGCATGCTGGAGCCAGCTGCCCGCATGTTGGATGTAAAATGTGTCCGGCACCTGGAAGGAAATACTTCCCCTCCGCTCACCAAGGTCGTTTATAGCACCGGTCCCTTGCCGCTGTCACAGGGGCACATCCTGGTTTCTCTTTAGTTTCCGAGCCCAGCCCCCCCTCAAGGGCACTATGCCAAGGCCAGAAGTGACTGGCAATGTGATGTCCCCAGGTCCCCAGGCAAGACCTTCTGGGGATCTGGGGAGGCCCTGTTCTCCCATGCAAGCACCCGCCACTATGGCGAGCCTCAGTGACAACCCCAAGCAATAAGATTGGGAGTTGGTATTGGATTTGAGGCAAATCTGCAGGGTTTTGATGTAGGAGATTTATTGCCATGCCAAACATGTGTGTGTAAAATACATAATTCCTCTCACACAGCCTCATAAATCCAGAAGGGTCAGCAATAAATAGAAAAAAATAAAAAAATTATAGACTAATTTGTTCAGAAAACTAGAAGGGAATCAATAAGACAGCTGTAGCTCAAAATGTGCAGTGAAGTCACACACAGGGATAACTTTTCCCCATTGGAACCAAGCCTCCGCACTGGGAAAGTCTGGGATGGAAGCAGGTGACACCGTGGCTGGCACCTCCCTGGTCGAGATGTGTCCTTGGGGACAGGTGCCCAGGAAGGCCCGAGCCACATGCTGGCCCAGTCCTGGCAGGCTGTGGCCCCGTGGTGAGGGGCTCCCTGGGAGGAGCTCCTGCCTAGTGGTAGGAACTCAAAGGTGTCTCCAGGGTCCCAGGACCTGGCACCTAAAACCTCTGCTCTGCCTGCTTCTTCCACTGAGGACACAGCACCAGGCCTTGAGACTCTGCTGCTCAAGTGAAATCAGTCAGACGCACAGGATTCAGTAGTGTGGGTTCTCTGATATGTGAAGCCCAAAGAATAAATAAGAGCGAAATAAAGGATGGATAATAGGAACCAGGAGATAGGCCTCCTGCAAAAAAGAAAGGGAACCAAGAGATGGAGGGAGCGGGAAAGAGAAGGGGAGGTAAAAAAAACAAAACAAACCCAGAGATGTGCCGTGTCCATGCACCAGCTTCCGTGAAGAGCGTGATCATTATGTACTGCAGACATGGGCAAATACAAATAAAGATAAAGCAGCGCGGGTGCATGAAAGTCTGGGGCCCTTGGGCCCAAGTACAGTAAGATGAAGGGGCCCTCTCACTGGGGGTCCCAGCCTGAGGGGGACAAAGACCCACACCCACTGGGAGGGGGGATGTGTGAATATACTAAGTACTCTAAGGGGTCTCAAATTCTCCACGTGTACAGTGTAAACAAGTGAATGTTGTGGTAGGGGGATTATGTCTTAATAGAAAGTGTAAAGTGTAGCACACCCATGAACAAGGAGAAAACAATAATTTCCTGAGAACAATTCTTTCCTAGTTTAGAATCTTTAATTCAAGTGGGTTTTAAAAAATTAATTTGAACTGGTCCGTAAAACCCAGAAGTTGTACATATTACTGGGCCCAAGTGGTATTTTCCAATGTTCAGGGATCAAGTTCCCAAAGCCGCTGTGTGTGTGGCTCCTGTGTACCCCACCCTCTCATGGCACATTGGCTTCTGCCAGGGCTACAAATTATTTATAAACATATTTGAAGTTTTGGGGTTTTTTGTTTTGTTATTTCTGGGTTTGTCTTTTCACTGTATAGTTCACTGTATAGTTCAAGTTGGTCTTGAATTGATTGTGTCGCCCAGGCTGGCCTTGAACTCGAGGTGATCCTACTGCTTCAGCCTCCTGAGAGCTGGGATTACAGGCATCCACCACCACGCTTGGCTTTTTGGTTGTTTTCGTTTTTGAAGTTCTAGGGATGGGACCCAGGGCTTCACACAAGCTAGGAAAGAAGCTCTACCACTGAGCCCCAGCCCCAGCCCTTTTAGTATTTATTTTTTGAGATAAGGTCTTGCTAAATTCCCTAGGCTGGACTTGAACTTGCAGCTCTCCTGCCTCAGCCTCTGAAGTAGCTGGATTATAGGCTTGTGCTCAGCTCCGACATCATTTATAAATGATTAAGGTAAGGAGTTGGTAAAGATGCATGGACAGACCACAGATAGGTGGAGAGACACATGGATGAGTAGGTGGGTGATGAGTAAGAAGGGTTTGCAGAAGTGACAATTCACACGTGTGTGCGCACACACTGCTTCAGGAGTGGAAAGTAACCTGGGAGACTTCCTTCACAGCCTCCAGATCCTCTCAAGAAATCCTGTGTGAAAGTCAGAAAACAGACCCTAAAACTGCTTCCTCTGTAAGCATTGAGCGCCGGGCTCATGCAAAGCCACTTCCGTAAGGGCCTGGAAGGTGGGGTTCAGGCACAGCCTGGGACAGTCAGAAGTGGCTTCCAGGGAGGCCTGAATGAGCTGTCCCACTGTAAGACCCTGTGCCATTGTCCCCTCCCACCGGCCCTGCAGTCCTCTGCCTCGCCCCACGGAAACTGAGTGTACCACTCAGACAGGCAGCTGAGCACTCCTCTTTCTGAGGCCCACCTGGCCTGTGCTCCAGGAACAGACTCCTCCCTCTGATGTCAGTCAGGGCCCCAGAGAGCCCTGAAGGAAGCTGTGCATCCTCCCTTATGGAGAACCCAGCCAATGGATGCCTGGTCACATGCCTTCCGGTATGGCCAGCAGCAGGGTGGCCACACAGCATTACTGTACCCCAGAAGGGGAGGCCCAGCTTCTGGAGGCACAGGCATACACACGCACGCACTCACAGTGTTACGGTCTGGGTCTAGATGTCCCCAGAGCCCCCTTCGGTCACAGGGTTTGTTCGGGGTGGCTGGATCTATAGTATGATGCTGGGATTAGGGTTGTGATTGCTAAACCACCACAGATTGTGGGTGGCTGGATCTATAGTATGATGCTGGGATTAGGGTTGTGATTGCTAAACCAGTCCACAGATTGGCTTGGCACTGCCCTAATCCCAGTAGTTTGAGTAAGAAGGGCAGAAAGACTCTGTTAAGGTTCTCTTGCTGCTGTGGCTACTGTGTGGGCGCCAAAAACAGCTTCTCCTCTGCGACACCCCTCTGCCTGGGAGCTAGCCAGTCACAGACCGAAACCTCCACAAACTGAGCTAAATAAACCCTTCCTCCCTTAACTTCCGGCGGCAGGTATTTTGTCTCAGGCAGGAGAGGAAGGCAACTGAGACACACAGTAACATCGCAGGGACTAGAGGCTGCCCCCAGGGGCCAGCCCTGAGAGCACAGCCATGGAGTCACACAAGATCCTCTGGGTGAGCTGGGTGGACACCAGGGCCACCACCTCGTCCCTCTCTGTGCCCACATCAGAGCAGGAGCCTGAGGTGGGGCCGGTGGCCATGTGTTCCCCTAGGAGCAGCTCTCTGCCCAGTGAGTCCTCTGCCCAGTGGCTCAGGCCGTCCACACCCTCCTCACCAGTGTGCCCGGGGGACCCTGCCTGGCCATGAGATACCCAGGCCGCCTGGTCTCCAGGAGGAGTTGGGAGGAAACTTGAGCCTTCCTGGTGCCCTGCCCTGGTGAAGCACTGCACCCCTGCCTGGGGCCCAAGGTGACTGCCAGAGGTGCCCTCGGCCCAGGGCCCCATACCCAGCACATCTGGGCCACAAGCTACCAACAGCCTGGACACATTCTCCCCTGCCATGCAGGCCACTTGGGACGGAGGCAGGGAGTGTGCTGATACCTGGGGGAGCCCCCCACTGACGCCCACCCCCTCACCCAAGGGTGACTCTGGACGGGTGACCTGTTGGGACCACTGGCTACCCACAGCCTGCATCCCCACCGCAGGCCCTGACCCACCCAGTTCACCCTCAGGGCCTCCATGTGGCCCAGGTGCCCCCAGGCTGAGCCCTGACTGCTGGGGACCCAGCGAGTCTTGGGGAACCATGGCCTCTTGGGGTGGGGAAGGGAAGTCTTCGGAGCAGGGCTGGGCCTCATCCCTGTCACTGTCAGCCTGGGGAGTGGGAGGCGGTGGAGGGAGGTGGGTGGCCCAGGGGGGGGCACGTGGGAGGTCCTCACTGCCGTAAGACAGTTCCCCATCCACAGAGGACAGGAAACCAGCAGTGTGCAGGGGGCAAGCTTGCTCTGGGACTCGGGGGGCCTGGGGCTTGGCCACAGGGGATGCCAGCCCCCAGGGGACCTCAGGCCCTGGAGAGGCCTGTGGAGGACTCCTTTCAGAGGACAAGCTCAGGCCAGCACCCTGGGGCCTCTCCTGGCCCCCAGCCCCTTCAGATGCAGAAGTCTCTGAAGGAAATGACAGTGATGGGTCTAGGTCATTCGAAGAGGCCGCCTCAGGGGACACCTGCTCTGTGCTCCCTGTGTCTGACCCCCCGCTCAGGCTCCAGCTGGTTCCAGAAGCTTCCTGTCCCTGCCTGGGGCCCGAGGCAGGTACAACCACACTGTGCTCCAAGATGGAAGAGCCAGGAGGCGAGGAGCTCCCAGAGGTGGGCCCGGCCCCCGCACCAGGTTCTGATAGGTTCTCTTCAATGCCCTCGTCCCAAATTTGGCTGGAGGCCTCTGACAGCTCTGAGCCAGACCTTGGAGAACAGACATCTTGGGGAGGCAGTGGCCAGCCTGCCTGCAGGAAGGTCCGCTCTGGGACTAAGTCTTCTGCCACAGCCACGTCCGGAGAGCCAGGCAGGGCACCAGCCTGGCCACGCTCTGGCCTCTGCCAGGTCACCTGCCCTGCACCCCCAGGAACAGCATCTGGCTGAGGATCACCCTGGTAGGGCCCCCCAAACAAGGATGAGCCAAAGTCCTTGTGAGCAGACAGCTCCTCTGACCAGTTGGGGTCGGTGCCCTGGCTGCGCTCAGCCTCTGGGCCAGACACAGAGAGGGAGCTGTCAGAAAGCTGGACCAGAGTAGCTGTGGCTTTCTGGAAGTCCTGGAGGGAGGAGCAGGACAGACCACTCACAGAACCTGCTGAGGATGTGGGGGACGATGCTAGGGACCCTGCAGACTCCAAGGGGAGCCCAGCTGTAGGCCTGGAGCCCAGGTGCACAGGGGTTCTCGCATCCTCTTCCACGGCAGCAGGAGCTGCTGAGACAGGGTGAATTTGGGGACATCCAACAGCTGTCACACCCTGCATCCAGGAACCAGCCCTGCCACCAGGCTCCTATAGCCAGCGGCTCAAAACCAAGACCCCAAATGAGGCAGGAACGCAGGAGGGTGCCAGCATACTCAGCCCCTTCTACCCGAGCCAGCTGTTGGCTGCCTCTGCCACTGCTTCCAAATGGGTTTATGGCATGGACTTTTTGAGTCTGAGGACCCAGCTTCTAGCATGCAGCTGTGGCCAGGATGGGCACCGTGCCTGCTTGGCTGCTCCTCTGTGACAGGGATGGGCCCCACCGCCTACCATGGCTGGCAGCCCCAGGCAAGTGAGAGCTGCGGGAAGGGCAGGGCTGGGTGCTCTAGGACCTGGCCCAGGTGGCCCTTAGGTGGGGACCCCAGGGTCCTGACCTGGCCTGGGGGCCCTGGAGAGGGCAGAAGCATCACCTGGGGAGGTGGCCAGGAGGGCGCTGCTGTCCTTCTGCCGACAGGCCTCTGTCCTGTAAGCACATGGTGGGTGAATCCTGGAGCACCCCGGGAGGGGACTTATCCTCCCAGCCCCCAGCTCACAGCCAGGGACACACAGGGTCAGTCAACGAGGCCTCTTAGAAACACCCCTGCCAGTCACCTCCCACCATCTGAGCTCTCCAGTGGGCCTGTCTTTGGGCACCATCTGGCCTCAGTATCTGCTGGATCCAGTGGCAGATGGGGCACCCCCGAGAGCTCAGAAGACCCCCTCCTGCGAGCACCCCCTGCCTGTGCCCCGCACCTCTGCTCCCCAGGTAGCCCGCTCTCCACTTCCAGGGGTTCCTCTGTGGGGATCCCGGCAGCATCTAGTCCAGCCACCTGCGGGGAGCATGGGAGCAGTGGTGTGGGGCCATGTCCTTCCAGGGCTACCACGAGGAATGGACCCCGACGAAGAGGGCACTGGCCAGGCACCTCTCCTGCCCATATGTGGGGTCTTGAGGGGCCGAGGATTAGGGTGAGCTCAGGAGAGTACATGCCTCTCAGGGAGCCTCCTCGAAGGCCGGGCCTCACATGAGGCCAAGCAGCAGGGTCAGGCTCCCTAGGAGTAGACAGCACAGGCCGCACCCCAACTCACACTTGCTTCCTGGGGACAGTGAGGACCGTCTGCTCCCAGGCGTCGCAGGCTGGGTCCTTGGCAGCCACCCACTTGAGCTGGGGGCCTCTTCTCGGCCCAGCAAGCTCTAGGCTGCGTCTGAGGGTCCCCTGCGGGCAAAGGCACAGCCAGCGCTTTCACACAGGCAGGGGCCAGGCAGGGGTGCCCGGAGTCCCAGAGCCCCACAAAAAGTTCTGAAAACTCATGGTGACGTAAAACTGCCTTGTGGCATTCAGTCTGTGTGAGGGCACAGAAACACCCAGGACAGTTAGTGACAGGAAGTTCCAAAAAAAAGGCTTCGAGAGGCCAAGCGTGGTGGCGCTCACCTGTAATCCCAGCACTCGGGAGGCTGAAGCAGGAGGATCACTATGAGTTCGAGACCAGCCTGGGGCTACATAGTGAGTTCCAGGTCAGTTTCAACTACATAGTGAGACCCTGTCTCAAAAAACCAAAAAAAACTTCAAGAAAATCACTTTACATGCAGAGTCCTCTGCCAGCACTGTCACTGGGGAAGGCTGAGACTCGGGAGAGCCAGGGCCAGGCAGGAGGGTGAAGGTGGGGGCATCTGGGGACAGCATGGACTTCTCTCTGTCTCCAGGTGCTTCGGAGAAGGCGTCTCTGCTGTGGAAGACGCCTGGCTTGTGGAACTCTGTCCCCTCTAGAAATGACTACGTACTCTCTAGGCCCTGTCACTACAGAGGGCCACATAGGCCAGAGAGGAGGCGGGGGAAGGCGCAGGCTGGGTGGCCAAGCTGCTGTGCTGGGACTGGGGGGCACTGGGGACAGGCATGACTCTTCCAGGGTCCCTCTGGGCGGGAAGCCAGCAAATGAGCTGACCCGTGGGGACAGGGAAGGGCCGGGCCATGGCAGAGCCCTGAGCTGGGGAGTCCTGGGTCAGGGCAGGGCACACCAGGGCCTAGCCCCACCCTCCTGCCACTTTGGCAGCCGCACACAGCAGGTCTGTGTGCCCCGACCTGCCTGGTGACACTCAGGCCTCCCCTTGGTGGCTCTGAGCCACATCTGCTGGGAGCCTCTGAGCAGCAGGGCCCATCTGGGTCCCCAGAGCCTGGGCCCCGCTCTGTATAAAGCTGACCATGCACTGTGTCACACTCAAACACAGACAGGGGCCCCATCGGGATCCACACCAGCACTGTGGGTGGGAACACGGGTCTGTCCGACCTGGGACTGCTGCCCTGAAGTGGCCCATAGCAGACACTGCTGCCACCCTGCCTGCTACCTTGGTCTGCATGGCTGCCTCTCTCCTTGGGTGGGCTGCTGGCCTTGGCTGTGTCCTCTCCCCAGGCCAGCCTTGGAGACTGCTGGTGGCCGTCGGCATCTGATGATGTCGCAGGTGTTCCCTCCCACCGCTCAGAGGCCAGGCTGCAAGATGGATTGGAGGTCACCGCCCTCCCCACTGCCCCCATGGGCATGCCCAGCCCTGCCATGACTTTGCAAGGCCCTGTGCCTGGCACAACCTTGTCTGGCAGTGGCTGTGGCCACACAAAAGTCAGATTCCCGGCACCCCTCCAGACAGACAGGGCTGTCACCATGGGGGGCACACTTCAGGGGAGATGGCTGACTCCCAGCAGTGAGGTCCCCGAGATTTCTGGTGGAGACTGACTGCTCTTTCTGGTAGAGCTGGGGGAACAGGGTACTCCCAAGTTGATGTCAGGCCCTGGGTACCCCACCCTGCCTCCCTGGGCCACACTGCCAGGGCAGCAAAAACTGCTTGTCAGCCAAGGTGGCAGGCAAGGAGGGCTGGTGCTGGCCCTCGTAAGCCCTTCTGGTTAGGGTCAGTGCTGGGGCAGGCCTGCCTATGGCACCTGCTTTCTCACCTCTACCCCAGAATGCAGAAAGCCTGCTGCCCCTACCCCAGGGCAAGCCTGACGGTGTCTCCAGATCCACACTTGGGCAGGGAGTGGACAGGAGGGGGCGCTGATAGGAGGGTGGTCCTCAGCCTAGAGCCGGTGAAGGACACGGTGCAGGGCTCAGGCCCTCGCGCACCAGCAACTGTACAGCAGCCCACTAGGCCCCCAGACCCTTTCAGAGGTTTCACCTCCTGAGCCCTCCCTGGCACCCCAGGTCTCAGACCAGGGCTCACACTACCTCCGTGTCCTTATCTTCGCTAGTCGCTGGCTTCCTGGGGCTTGGGGGGAACAGAGGCTTGTTCATGGATGTACCCCATTCCCAACACACTCCAAACACAGAACAAAGGAGCCAAGCTTGCTGGTTTCCCCAGGGCCCCGACTCCCGGCACAAAATCAAGCCACTGCTCAGGGTGGGCCTGCAGGGGCCCCATCTCTCTGGGCTGCGCCTGCCTTCCTCTCTACCTGCTCACTTTTGACTACACTTTGCCAGTGTAACAAGAACAGCTCCTGCCGCTGCTGCGTGGGAACCACCACCCTGTCAGCCCCATGGGCAAGCTCTTGGATCTGGGGTGGCAGTCAGCCCACAAACCTTTTCAGAGCCCACAACTTGCAACTGATTGCAGCGGAAGCTGCGCAGGAGGAAGCCCAGGAGCTGATGGCCTGGGGGAGGCTGCCTGGGTGGCAAAGAGTCACTGGGTGGTGACAGCCTCCCCAGGGCAAGCAGGGGGACCCAGTGAAGGCCCCAGGCTAGGGGCAGCTTCCAGCTCTGCTCAGCCCCAAAGTGAGCTCTGCCTTTACAGACACCAAGGGAACACCCCCCCCCATTCAGCCTGGAAAGAGGCCTTCATTCCTTGTGTTGCAAACTTAAGGCCCCAACCAGGGCCCCCGGCCACCACCAGCCACAGACAGCCCCACACCAGCTCTGGGGACACCCACAGGCTGGCAGCCACATGCATGCCACCTGCTGCCCTGAGCCAGGCTGGACACCTGCTGTCCCTCCACGCCCTGCAGCTGCCCTGGGAGACTCCCCACGGCCACGCCCAGCAGCCACAGAGCCAGGAACACATCTGCTCTCTGCTCCTCCCCAGGTCCCTGCAGCTCTGGCCTAGTTCTCCACAGGCTCCCCCAGTGCCCTCAGGGTCCCCCTCCACAGGGTGAGGGCTGCTGAGCAAGGGCCAGGACTCACCTTGCAACCTCCACACTCTCAGGACCTCTCTGGACTTGTGGGCTGGTGGAGCTGCCAGGCCTGTGTGGTGTCGGGAGGCACAGGGCTCCCTCCGGCTGGCCTGTCTCTGAGGGGCCTTCCCAAGTGGCCTTGACTTTGGGGCTGGGACTCTAGGAGAGACAGCAGAGGCAGTGGGCATGGTCTCATTGGAGAGGCAGGTGGCATGCGTGGCAGCCCTTGGTCTCACAGCCTGGGTGCCCTGCGTGACACCAGCCGACATGCACCCTGCTGACAGGTCCTCAGAGCCCATGTCCCACCCAAGGTTGGCAGAGGTACCCCCAGCAAGCACAAGGGCAGTAAAGGGTCCCCTGTCCTGCAGGCCCACTTGGGGCAGGTACTTCAGAAAGCCCTGTTCATTCCCCCTCAAGGGAAGACCTCAGGCTCACAACTTAGAGGGATACGATACCCATCCACATAGCTCTTCCATGCTGGCTGATGGTGGTAGGGCAGGACAGAGCAGCTACTGGTTCTGAGGGGCTGGAATCCAGGAAGGGGCCCCAGGCCACGGGCCAGAGGTCTGTCCTCCCTTCACCACTGCCTGTGCTCCTGCTAGGTTGCCCACCTCCACCACGGCTTTCTTTCTCCACATCCTCGGCCACCCATGGCCACTGGAGGTCTGTCTGCTCCTGCAGGACCTATCCAGGTCACCTCACCAAGAAAGTCCTCAGCCCACACCTGCACACCCCCAGCGGAGCACCCACCTGTGGCCGGGGCGGGGTCCTTTGCACTGTGAGAATGGCCTTGTGGTGCTGCAGGAGCTGCTGCCTGCCTGGGAGCACTGACCCGTGCAGGTTCCACAGGTCCCGGACTTCCCTCTGCACCTGCCAAGGACCCCAGGAGCCCGGCGGGGAAAAGAAGAGGACTGATGAACAGTAAAGGGGCACACAGAGCACACTGGCCCTCCTTTCCCTGCAACTCCTTGGATGCTGGCTTTCCCAGGGATTGACAGGAGGAAGCTGGAGTGCTCTTTCCCCAAGGGTCCCCACCATAGGGCTGGCACACCCTCTTCTACCCATCTCCTTTATTAAGCCCTCCCAAGACCTAGGACGTGGACACTACTGCTCCAATGCCAAACCAAGGCTACGGCCAGCAAGAAGCTGAGCCTGACCTGCAGCCAGGGTCACCCTCTACCCGGCCATGGCTCCATCCCAGGTCCCAGGCCCACAGGGTCCCAGGCAGCAGTGGAGGGTGGTGAGGACACAGGGACTCTCCGGCAGAGGTGTGGCGAGGGTGGCAGGTCTGACTATGCTCCCCAGCCCAGCCATGCCTTACCGGCTCCTTCTCCAGCCTGCAGAGGGTCTGCCTTGTCCGCTCCAACAGAGCAGCCCCTGTGGCTTGGTGGCCCCGGCTCCCCAGACACCTGGGGGAGCAGTAGGTGGTCAGTTCCAGAGGCCTGCAGGTGGCCTTGGAAAGCCCGGAGCAGAAAGTGGGAAGCAGACACAGAGGCACCCGAGCCGCCCACCCACGTCTGACCACAGGGCAGACAGCAGGCAGGGCTCCCCACAGCCAAGCACACCACGGACCTCTGGGGGGCTTTCCACAGCCCTCCGAGGCCCGCGCAATATCAGGAGGCTTGGCCTGCACTCTCACCGTGGGGGACCCCGCTTCTGGGTCCCCGCTAAGGAAAGCTCCTGGTGTGTGCTTGCCAGCACCGTCTCAGGGAAGGCGTGGAGGGTCTCTTGGCCTCTTAGTCTAGGGGCAGAGACAAGTACGCTGCAAACAGGTGCACGACCTGTGGGGGGCCATGGGTGGTGTCCATTGTTCGTTTTGGGGAGGCTTTACTGTCTTAAGTCCTTTTCTGCAAACACCTATTCATTACTACAATCAACAGTTATTTCCCCCGGGGCGGGGCCCGTGAGGCGATGGGGGCGGGGTCATGTGGATGGGCGGAGCCAGCGAGCCCAATGGGCATGGTGACTGGATGAAGTGCTTTCTGACCGCGCGTGCGCTCACCCGTGCAGGTGCTCTATCCAAGCCCGCCCGGCGCAGGCCTTTTCTTCTCTCGCCATTTGGCGCAGGCGCAGCAGCGCTTCCTGGTGTTGCGCGCGCAGCTCATCCTCCTCCCGCAGGCTCTGCTTCAGCCCGGCTGTCAAGCCCGCTCCTGGCTTGGCGCTCCCGGTCCTTACCGAGCTCCCCTCGGGAGAGGCAGACCGAGCCTAAGCGCTCCTGGGGCCGGCCTTGACGGGTGGAAGCCGCTCTGGGGAGCCCTCATCACCTCGGTCTAGACCGTGCACTTGTTAGTGCTCTAGAGGGTGCCGGGAAGGCCGTGCCCCTCCAGCTGGCCGGGTAGGTGCCGATGGCAGGAACACTCCCAGGGCCCTGATACCACACCCAGTGTGTGCACCCCGGAACTGTGCCCTTGCCCCCTGCGTGTACCTGGTGTTCGGGGCTGTCCCGAGGGCTGAGCGGGGCCAGGGGCGGCTGGGTGGGGTCTGTGTCCAGCGAGGCCAGCCCTGAGAGAGAAAGCGGGTGGTCGGGGGTCAGTGGGATGGGCGCCCGCATCCTGAGCTATCTTTCCGGAAGGTGGGTCAAAGGTGGCTGTCTGGGGCTCCCACCCCGGCACACAGCCCCACACCAGGTCCTGGGAGGCAGTGCTGGCAGAGCCCTGCTGCCACTGGCTTCCACCGAAGGTATACTGAGGCTGCAGGAGGTGACCTGGGCCCTCATCAGGAGCCCTGCTGGTGGAGCCCAGATTCCCAGCTGCAGCGGCTTTCTGGCTGCTGACCTCTGCTGGCCGTGACCAGAAAATGACCCTATACTTCAAAAAGTTCCTTCCTGCCAACAGTCAACAGTCAACGGGACTGGATTGTGGGCTTTTCATCTCATCTGAAACAACTAAAAACAATTACATATGTGTGCTCGTGTATATGCACATTCTGCACGTGCATGTGTACTCACACTCATAGGAAAGCACAGTTGCCTACGGACACCAAATAGCACTGAATGTGATTGCCGCTGGAAAACAAGGGTGGTAAGATCCTTGATGCAAACATCCTAAGGCTTGAGAGAGTTTCCAGACCGAAGACAGGGAGGGAAACTGAGGTAAAGAGATGGAGCTGAGTCTGCGGTGCCCAGTAGCTATGGCGGTGGTGAGCTGGAGCCTGCCTGGAGTACTGAGTGGAGAATCCACTGGTTAGCCCAGGTCAGGAAGCAGCTGGAAGCTGGGAAAGTGGTGTCCAGAGGTCAGAAGGCTGGGAATTGAGCCCGGACAGTGCTGTGGTTCACTTCGCCAGCAGTGCACACAGCCCCTCCTGCCTCAGGATGGGGAAACTGAGTCCTTGCCTGGGTACTGACCTGGCTCCACTGAGACAGTGAAGATCAGATCAACTCTGAACACCCACCATCCAGAGTGGAGTTAAAGATGTGTGTGGAAACGCAGAGACACCCAGACCAACGCAGTGAATTCCACCAGGCCCAGTGGGCAGGCAAGGATGCAAAACGGTTGTCCACAGAGGCAGGGAGAGTAAAAAACTGACCCAGGCCATGCAGTGGTGGAAATTACTGAGGTCATTGAAGCTTTTATAGCTTTTTTCCATGTGCTTGAAAAGTTAAGTGAAGGGCCGGGGATTTAGCTCAGTGGTTCCAGCGCCTGCCTCGCAAGAAAAGGGCTTGAGTTCAATCCCCGGTACCAAACAACAACGACAAAAAGAATATCCCTAGTACTGCCAAAAAAAAAAAAAAGAGAAAATTGTTAAGTGAATCACAGAAGGCAGAAAGGATCCAAATGCAGCTCTTAGAAATGAAAATGTAAAATATTTGAGATGAAAACGCTGGATGGGGTTCATGACAGATGACATTGCAGAAGGAAAGAGCTCACAGCTTCCTATTTCCTACTAATGAGTTTTCACAGGACAGAAAGAGCATTTGAAGAAATAGAAGGTAAGGGATCAGGGATTTAGCTTAGAGGTTCCATGCCTGTCTCCCAAGAACAAGGTCCTAATTTCAATCCCTGGTTCGGGGGATGGGGGTTAGAAATAGGAGGTGGGAATTTTCCAAAATTGAAGAAAACAATAAAATCCCAGGCCCAAGAATCTCAACAAGCTGGGTGTGGTAGCGCACGCCTGTAATCCAGCACTTGGGAAGCTGAGGCAGGAGGATCATTGTGAGTTCGAGATCAGCCTGGACTACATAGTGAGTTGGACCCTGTCTCCAACAACAACAAAAACAAAAAACCAGATAGGTTGAAAGTGAGAGGGTAGGGGTCTGCCCTGTAAACCTAGTTAAAAGAAGACTGAGTTGTGGCACACTGCTCCATTGATTGTGCCCAAAGCAGGCTTTGGCTTGTTTTGAGAGGTGAGACCAGCCTCATCCTCTCTGCTGAGGACAGAGTGACTCTTACCCAAATTCCATGTCCAGTGTTAAAACCTTCTTTACCAGAAAGACAAGGTTAATTATTAACCACAACCTGTATTTTGTCTGTTCTGTTCCTAATTCAAGAATGCTTCCTTTTTTACTTTCAAGCCTTGCCTGCATCTGTAACGTATCCATAGCTACTACACATCCTCTCTACCTCAATCTATGATGTCACCAATAAATATGACAACTCTGGGAGTTCAGGGCCTTTGCTCGCTCAGTCTTGCTTGCACAAGCCTTGGTCATCCTGGCTCCCCTGTCTCTTTAACTCCGTCTTTGAGTTTTTCTTTTAACCTTGCGTTGTAGTACTGAGCAGGAGATCGGAACCCACCCTGGGTATCTGATACTGAGAGGTCTAAAAGTACTAAAGCAGGCTTTGGGGCAGAGCACCTTGCAAGGAAGGCCAGGGCTCTGCCATGAGCACAAGGGAGAGATCAGTGAAGAGCAGGCATCCTGTGGATGTGCTAAACAACCAGTACAACTGCATGGGAAACTAGACAGCTCACAACCACAATTGGCGACTCCAGCACCCTCTCAACTCCTGATTGGAATGGGGCAGAAAACCCATAGAGATGCAGGCAATTTGAACGTCATCAACCAATGGGGTCTAACTGACCTCAGCAGCTCCCCGTCCAGCCATGGGGGACACACATTCTCTTCAAAACCATGGATGGGCACCAAGACAGGCCCCCAGCTCAGGGGACTCGGCATCGCACCCCTGCGTACGGCCACAGTGAGTGGGGACCAGAACGATAGGAGGAGAGTGAGCGGTGAGTGTGCTCACAGCTGTGGGCCAGCTCTGGGTCTAACAGCTCCTGCCTTACCTGCCAGCACAGGTGACAAGTGACACTCACCTGCAGAAGCCAACTTGCCCTCCGCACTGGCTTGCCCCTCCTCAGGATCCTGGAAGGACCCGGTGACATCTCTGCCCAGGGCTGGGGGTGACCTGACAGGTGGGAAAGCATACCAGAGGTGGGGGCCATCCGGGCTGCACCTGACACCTGCCCCAGGGGACAGCCTGCCCGAGCTCCTCAGTGCCAGGAGGGTGGCGGCCTCGGCCTCTGCCTCACCTGGTTCTGCGGGGCATGGGACTCTGGGCCAGTGATGTGGGCTCTGGGTCCACGTGGGCGTGTGGCTGCTCCAGCTTCGAGTCCATTCCTGGCCTGGTGCGGGCCCCCTGTTTCTCCATCAGCCGCTGTAGGGACAGGGAGGCAGAGCTGCCAGCAGAGGGCTGGGCACGAGGACTGGAGGGACTGTGTCGGAGGCACCAGATGGGGAAGCAGCACTCCAAGGACCAAGGCAGAAGCCAGCCAGGCATCCTTGTGGCTGAGCCCCTGTGGCCGCCATGCTCAAATCCGGAGGAGGAGCAGAGCCCGTGGTGGGGGAAGAAGGGAGAGGGGCCACACAGGCGACTCTGCACTCTGGGTCTGAGAGGTCCCATGTGCCCACGCAGGCAAGGCTCCCGGCTCTGCGGCCATCCTAGGTGCTGCTAGTGTCTGTCCTGCCAGCAGCCCCGCATGATGGACAGGGAACAAAGAGCCCTGCGGCTTTGTCCCACCAGCCAGGTCACAGCTACCAGCTGGTCAACACCCCCAGCCCAGAGTCACCGCCTCTGGGCTAGGTACCTTCTTCCCCTTCAGGGCCAGGCGCTGAGCTTCCCGTCTGATGGGTTTCGGAGAGGCCGGCAAACGATGGAGTCTGTGTCCCTACAGCTCTGGGCCTAACAATCTTGGTCCAGGACAGTGCGAGGCGGAAGCACATCTGTGACCAGGCCTGGCACCCTGGGGCCGGAGTGGCCCAATGTCTGGCCCTGCTCTGAGGCTTTGCTGTGAGGTGGGTCCCCCATGAGCCCACACGCAACCCCTGCCAGGCCCATACTCACAGGGCCAAGTGCCTGGCTGTGCCCCTGCTGGGCACCCACTGCCGAGGGGCCTCGGGCCGGCTGGGCAGGAGGTGACAGGGGCTGTGGGGAGGGGGAGTGGCTAACCTCTAGCTGGTGCTTGAAGAGCAGCCCATCCAGAGCCATCTGTGTCTCCCAGACCTCCTGCTCCGCTCGCTGCCGCAGGAGCCCCAGAGCCTGCTCCTGCTTCCGCTGGTCCAGCTGCAGCACGATCTCATGTCCTGGGTCCTGCTGAGGACAGGACCCTGCCCCTGCTGCCTGTCCTCTGGGGAACCCCCTTGACGTCTCTGCCTGGGCCTCCTCATCTGTCTTGGCTCTGCTTCCTCCCGTCTCTGTGTCCGCATTGCAGAGTGGGGAACAAGGGGGCCCTGCTTCTAAATCCCACAGTTCTGTGCTTTGGATCCTTCTACTCAGCCTCAGGGGCCAAAGGCGGCTGCCAGTTCCCCCTAAACAGAAGCAGCCTTGGGGCCACAGCTGTCCTTGGTCTGTTGTCACAGGCTGGGACCCACCTTCAGTGACTCGAGGAAGCTCAAGGACTTCAGCTGGAAGTCAGCAAGGTGCCCACCTCGGCCTCTGGGGTGCAGCCCTCTGGGCTCTTGGGAATCTGTGGGCCACAGAGTGGGCAGTGAGTGACAGTGAGGCTCTGGGCCTCTCTCTGCCTTGCAGCCCTGACACTTGCTCCACAGCAGGCCACAACCTCTCCAACCTTCAAGGAAACTGAGGCACAGGCAGGAGGAGGGCCAACACCCAACCTCTGGGGTGGGGCTGGCATCAGGAAGAGCCCCGGCCACACACAGCTGCTGTGCCCACCCCAAGGCGCTCCCGGCTGGACCCCAGGCCCAGTTCCTTCCCAGGTTCACAGGACAGGAGCCATCAGGAGAACTTGGTCCTAGGCTCGGCACTTGTGGTAGGAGACCCTGTGGGGCAGTCTACTTCCCTGGAGGGTCAGGGCCCTCCTGGGGACTTGAGGATTGCTTCTGGGCCACTCCCCACCATGGAGTTCACCAGTGTCCCTGCACCCGAGGGCCACAGAGGGGCGGCCCAGGCGCTCAGCTCTGACTGCTTTGTGGAGGCTGCCACTGGGCGGGTCGGCAGCTCTCACCTGCTCTCCTCCTGGGTCCTGTGACAGCTGGCAGGAATGCAGAAGATCAGCTCAGTCCTAGGCTCAGACCCTCAGTCTGAGTCATCACTGACCAGGGCAGTGGCCAGCACCGTGCCTGGTGCCCAGAGTGCACCATCCTCCTGGGCAGAGCTCAGCTTCCAAGCGGCGAGCAGGGTGGCAGAGAGAGGTCAGGCAGGATGTGGGGGCTCCCCAGGGACCCCCATCTAACCGGCTGCCACAGAGAGTGAAAACACTTGCAAACTCTGATTTGGGGTCTTGTGTTCTTCTTTTTGTTTTCTGCAGCACTGTGGCTTGAGCCCAGGACCTCGGTACAGAGCTGCATCCCCAGCATGTTTCTTGGTTTTTATTTAGAGAGGATCTCACCAAGTCAATAGGTTTCCAAGGCTGGGCTCAAACTTGCCATCCTCCTGCCTCAGCTGAGATTGCAGGCCACCCTGGCCAACCCAGGAGTGATGGGAAGCTTGGGTCACCTCTGTCCATATCAGCGCCCTGATAGGTCACCAGGAGCACATGCACTGTGTGGCCCTGAGCTCTGGGCCATGGGGCAGAAGCAGCCCAGGAGACAGCCAGGGTCATCCCAGGTGCAGACGCTGACCTCAACTCTCCCTGATTCTGCTCATTAGACAAGGCCCCCAAGAATTCACCCTCTGCCTGAAGCATCTGCTGGCTGAGGACCCAGCAAGGTGACTTCCTAGTACCTCTGCACCAGGCCTGCCATTGTTGCTCCCAGGAACCACTGCCTCCCTGAGATGAGGGGTGCTGGATGCCCACCCTTGGGGGGCCCAACCATAGAGCAGCCACCGCCACACCTGCCACTTGGGCTTAAACTTGAGCACAATGTAAACTTCCACCCCCAGTCGCACTGGCTGTGCTTCAGCAGCTGTGTGCTTGCGTGTACCTGCTGGCTGCCATCTGTGCCCCATCCAGCCGCAAGAAGATCTGTTGAGCAGTGTGGCTGGGGTCAAGCACCAAGTTCCCTGGGACAGCGCTGCCTCAGTGGTAGCAGCTGCAGTAGTGAGGTCGGAGGGGCACTGGGCTCTCCCTGGCTGTGGATCTCAGGGCTTATGCATTCTGCCCCCACCCCAGGCAGAGCCTCCTCCTGGTGCAGAGTGCCAAGTGCTTGTTCTCTGCCCATCTTCCTGCTGTGACCACAATACTCAGCACCACAATGGCTCAGGTGCCATGCAGTGCTGATGGCAGGGTTCTCCACGAGCTGGTGCCATCCCCGGTAAACTGTGGGCTTCGAGACCCTCTGTACCCTGGGGCCTAGGAGAGCACCTTCCCCAGGGGGAGCTCCTGGGAGCCAGAGGCACGGAACCCCCACCGTGTGCCTCAGACACGTGCCTGCCCGCTCAGGAATGAGGGGTGTCTGCACACACACATGTACATTCCCCCCAGACCCCCCACAGATGAGCCAGCCTGCAGCTGCTGGCGCACACCCTCTGGGCCCAGGGAGGGTGCTGTGGAGGGAGGAACCCCTCAAGAAAGCTGCTCAGCTCTGAACTGGATCCAAAATCCTCTCTGTCCCACTCAGCTGCCTGAAGGAAAGCCTGGGGCTGTGCCGACTCCAGGCCTCTCTCCAGCTGCTAGATCCCCCCGGCCTTGCCAGGAGAAGGAGATGCCCTGGGGCTGCGCTGGGTCACAGCTGGACCCACCGTATACCACTACTGTGTGCAAAACCTGTTCTCTAGACAAACCCAGTGGCGCTCACAGCCCTCACTTCTAGGAGGCCTCCCACCCACAGCCCAGGGACTCTGCCAGAACAAGGCCCAGGCATGGGCCATCTGCCTCCCCAGGGCCTTGAGGCTTCTAGGACAGCAGACCAGGCACAGTAGATCCTCTGCCAAGCACCAGAACCTCAGCCCCAAGTGTTTCTTTGCTGTAACTCAGAAACAAACACACCCAAGTAGCCATAGGACAGGTGGCGCCCTGGGCTGGTGGCCATGGGGAAGTGTCATCCATGGGAACTACACCCCGAGGTGTCAGGAGCCTGGCTGTCCACAGGACAAGCGTCAGCCCCACCCAGCCACATGCCTAGAGTGTACAGGAGCACGGAGCAGACAGCGAGGCCCAAAGCCTGGGAAACACTTTAATACAGGGTTGCAGATGCTGACTGCAAGGAAAAGGCTCCCTACCCCATGCGGCCATGCTCCCTCTAGGCAGTGGTGGGGGTCCCCGGCAGACGCCCCTGGCCACCTGGCCAGCCAGCCCAGGGCCTGTCTGCAGGCTCGCCCTTACCACAGCTCCGGGGGGTCCAGGGCGTCACCAAGCCCTCCCCTCTGGCAGCCAGCAAGTCCTCCAGCCACAGGGAGCCACAGGTGGGGTGCGGGGCAGCAGGTGCCCCAAGTGTGCTGGAGACACAAAGCACAGGTGGTCATGAGGTCGGGCTGGGAGGAGGAGGGGGACCAGGGACTACACCCCACCTTTGGGAAGCAGGGCTCCCACAGCTGCAGCAGGGTCAAACCCAAAAAAGCGTGTCCAGGGCAGGACCTGAGCCAAAGCCCAGGAGGGGGCTAGGCCTGTGGTCTGCAGGGCAGCTACAAGAGATGGCACTGTGTGCCCACCCACTTGTGTGAGTGAGGCTGGCTGGCCTGCTGTGAGGTGCAGCTGGAACCTGAGCTCAGGGCTCCTGGGAGCTCCGGAGCAGGAGCAGAGCCTCTCTACAGGTCCAGGGAGGTGCAAGGGCCATGTGTCAGCCCTGACTCTCCCCATGGCAGGTAAGCCCAGTTCTCGTGGCTGGCACTATCACCCCAGGAAGGCAGAGGGCTGGTGACGAAGGAGCCATGTGTGGCACACCATGCTGTGAGCTAGGAATTGGGTTGGCTGGACTCAGACTGGTGACTCCTGCTAACAGGGTCAGGGAACAGGCAGAGAAGTTTCCGGAAAGCCTGGCAGCTCTGGGGTTAAGAGGTAGGGAGGGTGTGTTCTGGGGTAAAGCTTGGAGGCAGCTTGCTGGGACCCCAGCACCTAGCACACAGATGCAAGCAAGGGTTCAGCCCTCACCTGCCTGAGTGCCAGGGTCCCTGTGGTGTAGGAGAGGGTCCCACCTCAAGCCCTGGGGTGAGGCAAGGGGGACAGGGCCACAGGGCGCAGGACACAGGCAAGGAGGAGCAATATGCTTCTGAAGAAATCCCAGAGGGCCCAGCCAGCCTCGTGACCTTTCACCCCCCGCAGGACCCGCTTCTTCCTGTCCTGGGATGCAGGGGACGCAGCACCCAGAGCCCTGCCTTGTGGGACCCAACCCACTGTCCTCTGGCCCTCCCCAGCTCAGTACAAGGAACATGGGTACCTTCTAGGCCTGAGCCTGGGTATGCACCTCCCCTGTCCACCTGGGAGCCTGGAGCACTGACATTAACCTCTCCCCAGTCCCCACCCACAGGGTTCTACAGGCTGTGGTGGGGATGGGGGAAGCAGAGCGCCACCAGCCCTCTGCTGCCCCCTACTGGTCACAGGGAATCAGTGAGGATACCACCCAAGAATGCCCCAAACCCCAAACCCACCGCCCCAGAGATCCGAGGTCAGAAGGGGGGGGTTCACCAGCAGGAGCGGGAGTGGAGACAATATACTCAGCTCAGCACCTCATTTCCTGTGGACCCCTGAAATTGGGCCTGGCTTTGCCCAAGGTCAGCTGACAGAGCTGGGGTTTGACCCCCAAAAGTCCTAGGCAGCCAATTGGTGGTGGGGGCTCATCGGTCTGTTCCATTAGACCTGCAGCACCCCAGAATCTGAGAGGCCCGAACCAGTTTCATGTGCAGCTGGGCTAAGGAGTGGCCTCACCCACACCCTGATGGGGTGCCAAGCCTGGGATGGCCCAGGCAAGGTCAGCTGCTGTGCCCAGGAGAGGGGGCAGGCACTGGGCTGCAGGGACTTGGGCTGATGGAGGGAGGCTCAGGAGGGGCCCTGGGTATCATGAGTTCCGAGAGGACCCCAGTGGGCTGCTTGTGGAGTTGGAGCGTCCGCAGAGCAGTGTCAGTGCAGCGCCAGCTGTGAGACCACTCACAGGACAGGCGCTCTGGGGACTCCACAGAGTCACAGGGGTCCCCTCAAGAGCAGCAAGAAGCTGGGAAAGGTGAGGGGCCCAGAGCAGGAAGCCGGTGCCCACAGAAGGGACCTCAGATGCACCTGTGCTGCCTGGACCCCAAAAGGCCAGGGCCAGAACTCAGGTGAAGCTGGATGAAGGAGCCGTGAGTGGGGCTCAGACATGGGATGGGGAGGTGACAGGCGGGCTCCAGCGGCCGACAGCACGTGCAGTGCTCATGGTGTCTCCCACGGGCTCAGAGCCAACACAAGGGCCATTTGTGGGGGACCCTGCCCTGGTCAATGCCGGCACCAGACCTGCCTGGCCCAGATTCTGGGCGTGGGATCCCCTGACCTAGCCTGGCCTTGGCCTGGGCCAGCTGCAGGGGGCATGAGGGGTGGCCCCAGGGCCAGGACTCACCTCCCTGCACCGGCTCCAGGGGCCTGGACAGGCACAGAGTCTCCCTGCAGCCTCTGCTCCAGCTGCCAGCATCCCTCCTGCATGGTACCTTTGGAAAGGGGACCGATGTCACACAGCATCCAGAGGGTGGAGGAGCCAGGTCAGGGCCCTGAGTCACTGGGCAGGAGTCCCGGGTGTGCCCTACATGGACCCAGCACAGCACCACAGGCCTGTCCTCCTCTGCCAGGGGATGAGTCAGGCACAGGACGCCGGTGTGGCCTGTGACATGTGCTGTGTGGGAGGGCCAGCTACTGTCACCCTGCACCTTTTCAGGGAAGAAACCGAGGGGCAGAGGGAGCAGGGGACCTCCTGACCACCCCAGGCCCACCTTGGCGCTGGCTCTCGGGGCTGATCTCTGGGCTCCAGGGCTCCCAGCCTGAGATCCAAGGCAGTACCTCCACATCCAGGAAGCCATCGTGAAGTGATACTCTGTCTTCACTGGGCACTGAGGCCCCCGGGTAGGCTGGGACAGTGGGCACGGTGTCAGACACCTCGGTCCTGTGCAGCTTGGCGGTCAGGATGTCAACACGCTGCTGCAGGACGTCGGCCATGGTCTCCAGCGCCTGCAGCCGGGCCTGCTTGTGCTGCGTGTGCAGGG